GTCATAGATCCAGGATCTGGACTCCAGTCAGTCTTCTCACTCTAAAATCCATGACACTACCTCAAAGTGCTTTTTTACACACATATATTCACTAATTGCAGATTGTGGTGGTATACTTCATTTATAAAATGAACATGGTTTTAAAAGATTCCCTTATGCCAAGGTCCCCAAAATGTATTTCATGGAGCATTAGCCTGCAAGGGATAATAATGTTTTCCTCAAAAATAATTAAATAAGTTACAGAAAAAACAAACAGCCTGGCTCTGTTAGAGACCTGGAATGTAAATGGGCATAATGAAGGACTTGAGGTTAAGACATGCAGTTTGGAAAACTCTGAGCTAAAGATCTGCAAACTTTATCACAGTGCAAGTTCCCCAGAGGCAAGACTAATGCTTTTTTGGAAGTTACATGCCCAGAGCAGCAGGAGTGAGGGAAGAGAGAAATAAGACTGGGAATCAAATACAAACTGGTAACACACCTAAGCTAATCACTGCTCCATGAACCATGGAAGAGACACAGCCAATTATTCTGCTACATAGGATGTCCCTGGACAGGCAGATTAGAAAACTGCCCTGGAACAGTCCCTCAGGAAAGAAGGGCAAGGACTTTATCTGCCAGCTCCATCTCACTAGGAAGTGTACATGCCGAAAGCAAACCCTCACACAGTTGAGGTGTCCCTTGGCTCCTTCAGGCAGCTGCTAGGGAAGCCAAATCACACACCCTGTTGTAGGCACTTCATCCTCTGAGTAGGAGGAGCCAGAACCACCAAGGATCCAGCTGGGTTTGTCTGAAAAGTGGCACTGCAGAGGTTGCACCAACAGCAGGTACCACCAAGGCCAGAAGCTGACACTGGGAGAGATGAGAAAGCAGCCCAGGGATGGAGATACAGAGGAAGCCAAAACAATCTGAGGGGACACCCATACACTGAAAATGTAAAAGGGGACAGAATGTACCTTTGAGAGAATGTGCCCAGGAGAGGCACAAGGGACCGAACATACTCAAGAGAGGTATAGGGGACAGAATGTACCTTAGAGAGAGATGAAGGACAGAGTATGCCTAGGAGAGATATGAGAGAATATAGCCTGAGGTATGAGGAACAGAGCATACCAAGGAGAGAGATGTGGGGACAGGCCATTCCAAGAGGTAAAAGGGGACAGAACATGCCTAGGAGGGGTAAGGTGGGACCAAGGTGGAGCTCTCCCATGATTATTTTTAACTAACCCATGTTTCCTGGGGAAAAAATGTTTTATGCATAAATAACCAACTTTCCAAGAAAACATAAACCTATAATGGAAGATTTTATCATGAGAAAAGATTTCAAGTGTCACTAGAACAAGGCCACAAAATTCTTTAGCCAAGGGAAACACAGGCATAAAACAAGTCATCTAGGTCATTCTGACATAAGATGGCACGTTTCCACAAACTCCCTGACACCATAAAGATAACAAAATAACCCCAGTAAAAAGGCTTTTCCTGACTATCACAATTCTTTCCTGGAATGTATAATATAAATGAGCAATGACAAATCAACAATCTGTGCTACTTTTGTCAACAAATCTAACTGTAATAACTCACTTTTGTACCACCTTGCTTTTTTAAATCTATAAACCCAGACTCCAGGCCAGGATGCCATTTGGTTTACTTAGTCTGGGCAACAAGAATGTGTTTCAAAGGTGGTCAAATAAACTCCTTGTTTTCATATTCAGTGTGACTCCCTGAAGCTAACCATCAAGGACTCCATATTTACCTTCACTTAACATTTGCATTTCTTCTCTGGGCGGCCACCCTCTCCCTCTATCCTGGCCCATTGTATGATGTCAGCAATTGCATGTAGGCAAACTAATCAGTAAAGAAAAATAATCTCTGTTCTTGAGAGTTGCAGAACTGACAAACATCATGCAAATAAGCTATCAAGATTAAATGTGCATGGCAAAGAAACAGACCTAAGGACCAGTGGAACAGATTAGAAGATGCAGAAACAACTCCAGACACACTCAGCCATCTCATCTTCGATAAAGGAGCCAAACACCCTCACTGGAGGAAAGATAGCCTCTTTAATAAATGGTGCTGGAAAAATTGGGTTTCAACTTGTCAAAGATTAAAACTAGACCTATATCTCTTACCATGCACTAAACTAAAATCAAAATAGATTAAAGATCTAAATATTAAAACAGAAACGCTGAATCGGCTGGAACAGAGGTTCGGTAGAACTCTTGAAGAAATTGGTGTAGGAAAAGATTTTATGAACAAAACCTCAGTTGCCCATCAACTAGCACAAACAATCAACAAGTGGGATCTCTTCTTATTATAAAGGTTCTGCACAGCAAGAGAAACCACCAGCAGAGTGAAGAGACAACCCACAATGTGGGAGAAAATTTTTACCAGTGATCCCTCAGACAAAGGTCTACTATCTAGAATCTATAAAGCACTTAAAAAAATCAGACCTCCCACATTTAGAGACCCAATCCAGAAATGGGCATCTGAAATGAACAGACATTTCTCAGACAAAGAAGTAGAAATAGCAAATAAACATATGAAAAAATGTTCAACATCCCTGGTCATTTGGGAGATGCAAATGAAAACAACGCTGAGATTCCACCTCACTCCAGAAAGAATGGCCACTATCATGAAATCAACCAATAACAAATGCTGGTGGGGCTGTGGGAAAAGAGGAACCCTGCTCCACGGCTGTTGGGAGTGTAGACTGGTGCAACCACTGTGGAAATCAGTATGGAGATACCTCAAATAACTAGGATTGGAAGTCCCATTTGACCCAGCTATTCCCCTTCTGGGTATCTTCCCCCAAAAATTCAAAGAATCATACCACAGTGATATATGTGCACCCATATTCATAGCAGCACAATTTGTAATAGCTAAAACTTGGAAGCAGCCCAAATGCCCATCAACTGGAGACTGCATAAAGAAAATGTGGAGTTTTTTTAATAAAATGGAGTACTACTCAGCCATAAAAATGAGAAATTAGAGACATTTATAGCTAAATGGATGCACACTGAGGTGATACTCTTAAGTGAAATAAATAGGACACACATGTGTAAATACCAAATAGTTTCTCCAGTGTGAGAAACTGAAAGTGTAAATAAGGACTAAAAGGTATAATAGATAATGTGAAATAGGAAGAAAAGGGGCAAAGAGGAAGGGGAAGTGGGAGGGGTAGGGGAAAGGAAAGAAGGGAATGGAATTAATATGAGAAAATGGAAAAATGGAAACAAAGTCTTTGTAAATAGGGAGGGATGGAGGGGTTGAAGGGAGGGCAGGGGAAGGGGGAAAAATAAGAACCAAGATGGATTATGTAAAGGTGCAAATTTCCAATGATGAATGTCATTATATTGTATACCTAAAATGTACCAATAAAATAAAATTTAAAAAAAAAGATTAAACGTGCATCAGGGCCAGGGATTTAGCTCAGTGGTGCCGCACCTGCCTCACAAATGCAAGGTCCTGAGTTCAATCCCCGGTACCAAAAAGAAAAAGATTAAATGTGTATCAAATTTTACCCACCAATCCACAAATACCTATAGCTACTGTGAGAAGGTACTACCAGTCTGTGAACACTGATTGCCCACCAACATAACTTGCTTCTAAATCAGTTTCCCGGCAAGACAGACTTGGAACAAGAGTTCTTCATATCCTTTACCAGTCAGCTTTTTGAATAAAGTTACCGTCCTTGCCTCAACATCTTGTCTGTCAACTTAACTGGCCTGTTATACGGCAATCAGCCAGCCTTGGTTCCAGGGACATTCCCACTTGCTTTTGGGTACCTTCTTATTGCCCAACATGTACCGGAGCCTAAGGAGATTCCAGATGGCCACTCCCAATGCTTCTGCCTAGGACTTCAAGCTAGTGAGAGCAGAAGGTGGCAAACCAGGCCTCGGGCTCTGCAGGATCCAGCTGGAGCCAGCTTGCCAGGCTATATTCCCATGAGCAGATGAAGAGCAAAGAAAGGGCAAAGAGTGGAACTGAGAGAAGAGACCAGGACTCCCAACTTCTCTCAAAATTACATCTAAAATGTTATTTAGAAATGAATTAAATAGAATAAGTCTGTTGTTTTACTTGAAAATGAAATTCAAGCAACAGAGCTTAGTTTGTTTTAAAATTAATGCTTTTGTTATGCTTTGAGGAATATTTTATCAATTACACACCCAAATTAATGTAATAAATTGATCAATGTAATAAATTGATCAATGTAATAAATTGATCATGCACTAGTGGTCAAAATAGATTAATTATTCCCCTCAGTATGCAATTAGCAAAAATGAATCTAACTTGATGACACCTTTTGTATTTTAAACAGAAAATATTTTTCATACGGAAAAATGATTCAGAGAAAAAAATCAACCAAGACTTAAAAACAAAAGACGATGCCATTATTTCTTTTTAAATCAGGACATAAAAATATAAGTTTGCCTCCACGTAAATTAAGAAGAAAAAAAGGGTAAGTCTGCAGGGCACATAATGCACTCTGTGGTCATCACAGTGGTGGTTTTAACTAAACCACAGGGCTGGAGATATGTTTTTTCTCCACAACAGCGATGTACTCAAGCATATGGCACAGCCTTGAATGAGCAGTCTCCCCATGTGCAGAACACAGTTCAATTCTTACAAACCAATTACCCATCTTTCCATGACACCTATCAACCTGCTCACACATTATTTTGTCATCATTTTCATATTACCAGAGAAAATCCATTTTTTCTACATTACATTCATGTAATAATTCTGATTCCAAGTGTGTGTGTGTGTGTGGTTTTTTCCCCATACTAACCAATCCTCCAACTCTGGATACCAACTGAGTGTCCTTCAATTTATCTCATACCACAGGTTTTGGGTTCAGTTCCACAAGACTGTCCTCACTTCAGACACCAATCACTAGTGGTTACCCACACTTCAGAATGTCCAAATTATCTACAAATCAGGGTCCCCACAACACCACCATTATGAGTTTGATAATTTTCTAGAATGACTCACAGAACTCAAAGAAATACTCTTCTTATGATTATCAGTTTATTATAAAGGGTATTATAAAGGATATAGATGAGCAGCCGAAGAAGATGTACAATAGGTAAGGTCTAGGAGGGTCCTGAGCACAGGAGCTTCTGCCCTCATAAAGGTAGAGTACACTGTCCTCCAGGCACATCAATGTGCCCACAGTTTGGAAGCTCTAGGAACTCCACAGTTTAGGGATTTTTATGGCTTCATCACATCAGATGACTGATTATTAACTCAATCTCAGCCCTTGTCCCAAGGGGTAGGGAGTGCTGACAATTAGAAGTTTCAAGTCATGGCTTGGTCTTCATGACAAGACTCCATCCTGAAACTATATTGGCGCCCACCAAGAATCACCTCATTCAAACAAAAAACATTCCTATCAAGAGACATTTTGGAGAGATTAAAGAGCTTTGTGTCATGTCAGGAATTGAGGTCAAAGACCTGCAGAACAAAAGAATTACTGCTACGAATCAGGATATTACAAGGTTTTTTGGAGCTCTGAACAAGGAACTGAGGATGAAGATATAATATATATTTCTTATTAAACTGCAATATCACAGCATCTCAACACACTTTCATTACAGATTGACGTCTACAGACTGGTTTAACTGATGACTGGTAAGCTGCTCCCTAAGGACATATGGGAAAGTGTAATAATCAGATGGATAAACTACCTCCAGAACAACTTGAAGGAAGTCCACCTGTAAACTGAAATGTCTTGGATAGAATTTAGACACTCATAACCTTTAATTCCAAAGGGCCTAGGTATCCTTGACCTTATTTATCTTCTTGGCCTTTTTTCTTCCAATATCTTATCTATACTGATCTTATTGGGGTGTGCAGCATTGTCCACTAAACACAAAACTAGACAGAATTGTTAAAATTCTATTACATGCCTACTATGGAGCCTTATGTGGCAGGTGGATAAATATTTGTCAAAAGGAAGTAAATTGTGAAAATATATATTATCCAAAAAGGTTTTATTTCTGTAAAATAAGAGGAATAGAAAATTTAAAAAGCCGAAGAGATTATACGTATGATGGTTACAGGACTAGCCTCTATGCCCTACTGCCTGTCAGTTCTAAGCAAAGGCCTCAGGTTATGACATAACGGGTAAGTCCTCCCCCTCGGACCTCTGACAGCCTCCGGCAGTGTCGCAAAATATTCAGGATCACATGAAACCTCTTGTCAGCCTTCAGAGTTGTGAACTCCTTTATGTCAGCTTCCACTATAAAAAAATGACCTGAAAATAAAGAAATTAATGCTAACTTTTTTAAGGCCAACTTTTAAGATGAGTCTTTAAGGTACTAAATTGTGACTATGAATGGCATTAATCATTCTTACTGTCATTATCCAATCAACATCAGAAATTGTATTCTTGATAAAATAATTATTCTATCAACTGAAGTTGCATGGTATTACTGTAGCATTTTAGCACTGTAGCCCTGCTTATTAGCTTACTAGCTATCAGTTGATACCTCCAGAACAACTCACTTGTCCAGAGGCATTATGCAGTAGAGGTTAACAGAATGGAACTCATAGGAGCTCTACCACTCAGCTGGATGACTTACATAAGTTAAACAATCTTTGTGTAGTCTACAAAATGGAATAAGGAAAGCTGGGTACAGTGGCCCCTGCCTATAATGTCAGCACTCAGGAGACTGAGACAAAAGAATCACGAATTCGAGGCAGTCTGACATAGCGAGTCCACAGCTAGCCTGGACTAAATAGAAATACCCTATCTAAAAAAGGGGGCCAGTAGAGAAGGACACTATGAGGACTAAACCCCTTAGCACAACAGTAAGTGCATAATTAACTGTTATCACTACTATTCTTCTAAAACATTGGATATAGTTTCATAAGAGACTCTAAAGCAGCATTTCTCAGTTTGAGCACTGAAGACATTCTGGGGGTTGCCCTGTGCATTGTAGGGTAGCATCTCTGTACCCTATCCCAGCTGTTACCACCAAAATGTCTCCAGCATGACAAATTTCCCCAGTTGGAAAACTATCCATGGTTGAGGATTAACTCTCTTGCGTTAGAATTTTCTAGAATGAGCTTTGTTTCTCATGATCAATTACACTCCAGTTGATATATGCACAGATATATAGTATCATTTTACCTTTAGTGTCCTTTGTTTCTTCATTGATAAATCTTTGATAGAGATTTCTGGTTACAGAATTCATAGACTTTTTTGGTTGATGAACAATCTTATATTTGTTAACTACCGCCTTGTTGATTTCTTTAATAACATCATTAATTTGACAATAAGTTAAGCGGGATTTCATGTACCTGTAAAAAAATTATATATTTTTTAAAAATCATTACACAAATTACTTTCTTTGAAAAACATAAATACTATAACTTTGTACAGTATCAAAGTATACTTTATAAAGTATCCTTTATAAAAACAACTATATCAACTTCTGAATAGTCCAGACACACCTCACTAGCTAAAAATTAAACAGAGATGACAACATATCAATGTCCACCTTCCCTAATTATACCTGAGTGCCTTAATCTCTATTTTCTACCTACACAGTATTAATACTATTACAGACCACTAAGTTAGACAGAAATATAATAGGCAGTCAGACAAGACTGAGCCCTTGCGACAGTCAAGACAAAAGGTAAAAACATTACAACTGTGGCTGGAGACACATCAGCTGGAGGCCAGGCCTCACAATAATGACACAAGGACCAGGCCTACATACCTTCCCAAGGGATGAGGTAAGTGATAACACCTGGTCTAGTACAGTCTAGCTTGGCATCAGTTGCCTCAGTGGGTGACCAAGACCCCAGATCCATCACCTCCCTCAGAAGTTCTTTGTTTTTTCCAAGTACTCTTACTATGGGACTTGCTTCCCCACTGGCTCATTATTACTTAAGTGATGTTACTTGCAACCTTATTGGCTGATCATAGCTATAACCCATGTTGTAACAAGGGTTTTGCTCTATAAAACTTCCCTGGAAAGTGGGGTCCCTGCCTACTCATTCGGGTCCTCTCCTGGCTCTCAAGAGCTATCTTCTCATAAATATTTTACTACTCTTAACCTCTGTTGTTCCTAGAATTCATTTTTTTATTTTCAGAGAACATGAATTGGCATATAAGATATCTAACGGGTTGGGAGATATAATATTTTCATATTTCATCTCCTGTATCAATACTACAACTTAAAACAAGTTCTCGAATTCTATTTCAAACAGACTGAATAACTGCAAGATACAACTTTATTTTTAAAATTTTTTAAAGTGTGCAAAAGAAAGAAAATTTTAAATGTTGAGAAAGTATACACCTCACACGAGTTTTCTGGAAAAACTGTTATGTGTGTAGAGAGGGTTAAAAAAAGAAAGAAGAGAAGGAAGAGAAGATAAAAGTAGACAAAGAAAACCAGAAGATGACATTAAGACACAGAACTGATGGGTCAAGAGATATAAAGCATGAGAAGCTTCTCAATTTAAGCACAAAGGTAGAGAATCAGTGAGTAGCATGCTTTTTTTTATGGGCTAGCTCAAATTCTTTCAAAACATTTCTTTAACTTCTGCCATCAACCTGGATCTCATTCTTGTCTGTCCTCACTGTCACCATGGATCTAGTCTTAGAATAAAAATAGGAGATTCTCAATTTTGAGGGGTTAGGACACACCAAAACCAAAACTTAATGATTGCCTCAGTCTTCCCCTCAACAAATTGTGGGTTCATTATCTTAAACTCTGCCTGAAGAGTTTCTATTCGAAGTGGCAGTTTTGAAACACAAGTTCTTTAATATAAAACAATAAAGGAATTTAAAGGAGAATGTTCATCTTTCCAAAAACATTCATTTTCATTACTTTTCATTTCAAAATTCAATTTTTCAGATCTGCTTTTTCTAACATTTTCCAAACACTTGATACCATTGCTTTCCACAATGCACTGATAAATTCCTTCAAGTCTTCTTGACTATGCCCTTTATTTCCTCAATACTCAGTCTCCATCCCTGCCAACATTTCCCACTTTTAATTCCATCCTCAGTATTAACTTTAAATAAATAAATAAGTTTATCCTAATCTCATTTTATCTCATTTACTATACAAATCCCTAGTTTAAAAATGAATACTCTACCACAGCTATTCTAATTTCCTTCAACTTTTCACAAAATCATTTTCTAAACTCTTTCACTTCACTGTTCCTTGTAACCCTTTGCTCTTCCCTTTAACTCAGCTGATATGCAGCAACCACAATAAGCAAATCTGAATAGCATCATCGTGTGAAACCATTTCATGAAAACAAAGCTAAAAATAAGGGGAAATGATCAATAAAAAAAAAATTAAAGAGAATTGTCAATCCCTAGTCTCAGAATTATAAAATAGCCAGATATTTTTCAAGTGACTAAGTGGCAACAATTTTTAAAACAGCAGGTAAGATGAGCAAAGGTCAGATGGTTAAGAGTATTTTTACATACCATTAACAGAAATAAAAACTGGTTTGTAAAGCTCTGACATGTAAAGAGCCAAGAAGCCATCATTCCAGCCCTCACATGAACAAAATGAAAATTAGTACAATAATTCTTCCTACAGCCATCACAAAATTGAGGGTATGGAGCAAAGCACTGCCCCAAAACTGGAGAAACAAGCAAATACAAAAAAAAGAAAAAGAAAATCACAGCTTCCTAGTGAGACCAGGAATTAGACAAAAAATAGGCAGTTAAGACAAACACCTGAGTGAACCAAGATAAGCTCTAGAAACTTGGAACACAAGGGTAAAAGGCTCACTGAATTCTTCCCAGGGAAGTTGGAGTGCTGTGCTGGGGAAATCTGTTCTGACATCAGAGGCCTAGCTAAAAATGGTACCCACAGTGTTTCAAAGGGCAAGAGCCTGGGGTAAACTGAGATAGGCCCCAGAAGTTGGAGTGCAAGTAAAGTCTGTTCTGACCAGCAGCCTACCCCTCAACTTGGGCACCTCCTCCATGTCCTCTCTTGAAGCCCTGGCTAGCGAAAACTTTTCTAATAAAGTACATTTGGTTCATTCCTCACTATTATGGCTGTGGACTTCATTCTTTATTGTCCTCAGGTCAAGAGCTCAGAGGGAGGAGAAAATTGGTAATGCTAGAAGCCACTGGAACTAGTAACTATAGGAATATTTAAACAGTAGCTAACAAATTGCTGAGGCTCATTTTGGACTAGCTTGAGACCTGAAAACTCCTAAGCACTCACTTTACCAAGCCCCTATACTCTCATGAATTTTATCTTTAAGACATCCCCAACCTCAGGTTTTCATGGTTAAATCCAGAGAAAAATTCTCTTGAGCTTTAGCAACAATGAAGGAAAATATATCATTTTGAGATAGACCAGGTAACCAGTGTGAATTACTACTACAGCAGTTCTGTTCTCTAAAACAAAGACCTGTCCTCAAGGGAAGACATTTTACCAGAGCCTGAAGGGACCTAGGGCAAGAGTAATCAGACAACTTGATGACAATGAGCCCCCTCTAGCTTAGAGATACACCAGAAGGTCACAGCTCAGAGTTAAACCCACAAAAACTCTGAGATTCAGTCATTAATGATAGAACACTTCTCATCTATAGTATCACCACACCAGACAAGTTTCCAGTACATTAGCAATAGATTAAAGATAGAAGATATCTTTTGAGCAAGATACAAGACACCAAACCTATTCAGTAATGAAGAATGAGTTTCTAGGAAAACCAGAGACAACAGGAGAGATGAAATAGAAACTAGAAGAAATTCAATCTTCTTGACATCTACAGCCCATCTCCTAAACACAGCAACATAGAGCTTCACACTAAAAGCCTGTATTCTTCAGTTTGTCTTAATGAATGGATGTATTTCGTCCAGCTTACTTTCCTTTTCTTTTTTGGTGCTGGAGACTAAACCTTGTCTAGCTTGCAATAAAAAATTATAAGGTATAAGAAAAAACAGCCTGAAGAGACAAAGCAAGCATCAGAAGCAGACTCAGAAATGATGTATTTTGAGAGTATCAACCACTAATTCAAATAACTTTGTTTAATATGCTAAGGACTTTAATTTTTTTTTTTTTCTTTTTGAGACAGAGTCTTACTGTGTAGTCCAGGCTAGCCTCAAACTCACTGAATAGCCTAGGCTGGCCTTGAACTCACTGCTATCCTCCTGCTTCAGCCTCCTGAGTGCTGGGATCACAGGTGTGCACCACCATGCCCAGCTTAAGGACTTTAATTTTAAAAGGACAAAAATGCAAGAACAGATCTACAAAGAAAGCAAGGATGGAAACTCCAAAATCAAAAGGAAATATTACAAGTCAACTCTTTAACAGAAATGAAGCAGGTTTTGATGGGCTTGTGAAAACTATTGTAGACAAGATCAATATTTGAACAAAGCATATTATAATTAATATGATCAAGCTTTATAATTTAAACAATCATTATGTTGACTGTTATAGAGTTCAACATTAAAATTTATCTTAAATACTTACGAAGGAACTCCATTGAACTCATCAGTAGATATAAATAGCATTTCTTTAATAATTTTTTGTTCTTTTGGAGGCTTCTTTGTGGATTCAGGTTGCTCAACTTTGGCTGGTTCTTCAGAGTCAAGATCGGATCCATTAACCCTACAGAGTGGAGTAATACAGGTAATTGTCAGAATGAAGCAGCATACTGGAAATTTTTCTCAACTGAAAATAATCATTAAACACATAATTCATTCTGTAATAATAAGTTTTTAGTCAAGTTTTTCTATACCTACATCTAAATAATGAAAAGAATATTAAAAATTTCTCTAAATCTTCAATAATATAGCTATAATGACTTAAGATATCCAAAACATGGTATACGTAGGATATATGTTAGATTCTTTTTTTTCAGTACTGGAGATGGAACCTAAGTCCTTGTACATGCTAGGTAAGTAGGCAAGTGTTCCACTGCTAAGCTACAGGCCTAGACTTGTTAATTTTATGAAAGGGTCTTACTAAATTATGCAGACAGGCTTTGAATTTCCTATATTCCAGGCTGAGCCTCCCAAGTAGCTGGGATTATAGGTATGCACCACCATGCCTGGCTTATGCTAGACATTTTTTTTTTGGTACTGGGGATTGAACTCGGGTCTTTCCGCTTGCGAGGCAGGAGGAGGAACCACTGAGCTAAATCCCTGGCCCTATGCTAGACATCTTCATCAAGAGTCCCACTGGCTCCTCAAAGTCAATATATAAAGAGTTGAACAATCTTAGATCCAAACAGCACCTCTCCCTGACTTCCACAGATCTGAATGTACAAACATCATCTTCCACTTATTCTAATTTATCTCGTTGGTTGCTGTCAGTCACTGCTTATTGCACACTCATTTTAATTGCTAGCAATAACCATGGGTCACCTTTGGATTCAGTCTGCCCAATTTTATTTAGTGAGAAGCCTAATATAACTCCCATTCCACTAGTAAATGAAGTCTATAAACAGGCTGTAACTTCTAGATCAATGATGGCAAATCTTTTAAAATTTTCAATGATACAAACAGCCCATTTTGGCACATGTACCGTAGTTTCATCACCACTGTTCTAGGTTAAGTGCCAGCGAAAAAAATAGACTTCTGTTGCCATAGTGGCTTGACTGCTTTCAAAAAGAAGACACTGGTTACAGGAAACAGTAGATCCAACACAGAAGTAAGCCAAAAAGATCCCCAGAAACATAACAAATGAGAACCCAAGATGACAGGAGACAACCAGACACAGCATAGCCAGGCCTGACTGGGTGTTGTGGACTGTCAAGACAAAAATATCCAATGAGAAGTCGCCATCATTCTAACATAAATTGCTAACATAAGACTCCATGAAGTGATTTTTTTCCTGTATTTATCTCAATTATGTGCTGAGGAAGTTCTCAGTTGTTTCTGCATGCCCTGCTGTGTGTATCAGTAGAAAACACCTTTTCAACCTACAGAAAGGTTCTGTTTTGACCCAGCCCTGAGAGCTGGAGGTAGGCCATATTGAGCTCCCATTCTCCTAGCCACATTCCTGTTTGATAGCCCATATCTACCATGACAGATACCCTCTGACAACCTCTGTTCCATAATATTCACTCATGACCTTGCCCACTAGTCTCCTCTTCTTGCAGGAAAATTCCAACCACCCTGATCACGCCTAGGGACACTGTTGAGCTCCTGGAGACCTTCAACCATCAACATGACTGTGGCTCTTTTCCTATGTTCCAAGGCTTGTGGCTGCCTTTCAACTTTTCAAGTTTAATCAATATTCTCTTTATGGAAACACAAATGTAAAGGCAAGATTATCATAAAGGCCAGGAGAGTGATTACCTCTGTGACAAAAGGCAGGTCTGCACCAGAAAAAGTGTTTTAAGGTATTGGTAATGTCCGGTTTCTTAACCTGACTAGTAGATACATAGATGTTTATTATTCTTTAATTTGTATAAATATTTCAATCACTTTCCTGTACATATGGAACATTTCAAAAACTAACTTAGCCATGAAATGTTTTTATCTATTCAAAGCACTTTTTAGAGCTAAACTTTTGGTGGCCGAGGACTGGAGAGATGGAAATAAAAATATACTGTACTGGAAAGACAAAATATAGGACTTTGCAAATCAGAGAGACAAAAGATGATGGAAGATCCTACTCAGAGCCAGGCAATGAGAACAAAGGAGAGGCAGAATGGATAGGTAATGGCTAAGAGAGTATGACAGGATGAAGGTGCCAAGTCCCTGCTCAGGTGACAGGAGGATGAGGGGAAACAGTTTGGATGGATAGATAACTAGAGAGTTAGTGAGTCCAGCCTTAGAATTGCAAAGTTTGAAGAGAAATAATTCCCTCAACAAATTCCCTGAAAGCCAAGAAATCACCAGAAATAGATATCACATCAAGGCTGCAGCTGGACATTTGAGAGCATTGACAGTGGGGTCAGGTAAGCAGGAGTGAAACAGCTTCAGGTAACACTTTTAATTTAAGAAAGGGAAGAGAAGGAGAGGCAGCCACCTCAGGGATATGGAATGACAGGAAAGAAAGCACAGTGGCAGTCCAGGGCACAATACAATCTCAAAACAAAACGGGTAACCAACGTGAGATCTGGAAAACAGAATTGGGCCTAAAGGACTTCAGATTTCTTTGTGAACTGAAAGCAATCAGGTTCACAAGCATGGTGGTAATGACAGCCAAAAGCCAGACAGTAGGGGCTCTGAGACAAAGGCAAACACAAACATACACTGCCAGTGAAGAGACAGAGAGAACCAGAATGGATGTGGGGGACAGAAGAAGAGCAGGTTTATTGTTCCTCTGGCTATTTTTCAGAAGGGAAGTTCAACAGGCTGATTCTAACCTAAGGCACTGGTTCTCAAGGGTCAGGGAGATTTTGCCCAAAAAGGACATTTGGCAATGTCTGAAGACTTTTTCCATTGTCACAACAAAGAACTGACCTCAAAAGGTAATGAGGCTGAGTTTGGGAAACTGCTCTAAGGGGAAGAACAAGCGGGAAGAGAGCCTAAGGAGCCTTGCTCTCAGGAAAGGTAGACATTTCTCTCAAAGATGTAGAATAAGAAAATTGGTCAACACGGCTGGGGATTTAGCTCAGTGGTTCCGCGGCCTGCCTCGCAAGCGGAAGGACCCAAGTTTAATCCCCAGTACCAAAAATAAAAAATAAAAGAAAATTGGTCAACATAGGGAGTCATAATGTTGTTTCTGGTGCAAGTGACAAAAAACTGAGTAATCAACAAAACTGCAAGTACATGATTCAGGAAAAGGCTTTGAGGTATTTGTTTACATGGGTTTATAAATCTAGACAGTAAGAATAATCATAAATATACTTACAAGTTCTGGGTTACTGTCACTGGAGGCAAATGGGAAGGAATGTTTTCATTCAGATGTTCTACATCCTTATAATCTTCTTCAAGAGAGTGACAGAGTTCCTAAAATTTTTTAAAAATGCTCATGAATAAGCTTCTTTCCTCCCTATGTCGTAAGATATTATAAAGACAGAAAAGACTATGAGCCATAACCACAGTGACTGTGAATGCAACAATATTTAATAAAACAAAAACAGACAAAAAAACAAGGAGATTTGGGACTGGCAATGTATCTCAGTGGTAGAGCATTTTCCTAGCATGTATGAGACCATAGGTCCAATCCCTAGGGGGAGGTGAGGGGATTGGATTCTAGAGCTGTTTTTTGGATGGTGATATATTTTTCTCTATTGGATTTTTCAGAGGACAATCTTTGTAATCACATTACAGCTACAAGGCAACTACTTTACAACTACTTTAACCGAGGCAAGAAATAGATGAAAAGATTGATGTTTTTCATTCTAGCAAATTGCTTTTGTTGTGTGCTTTTAGCACACATTCCCCATGTTCCCTACATGACAGCACCAGAGCAAGAATGCCCACACAGATGACAAGCATGAGATGCAGCCTGGAATGACTTCCACATCAATTTTTATATTCCAGCTTAATAAAAATTTCTTAACTGTGTTTTTTTCCTTTAACTTCCCCTAGAACTTGAGACAATGAACTTATGCAAAATTTAATAAGAAAAATATTCTGTGCCTTTGGATTCTTGTCATCTGACTTTCAATTTTCCCTTGAATATTCTCTAGACCCACATCAAACCCTGGGTGTTCTTGGATAGGTTGGAACTGAAATACCAATATTGAATTTATGACATCTTCCTTTTGAAGAGCTAAGTGATACTCATAGACACTAATTTCATTTTGACTAATAGTAGGATAGGCACAAACATGCCCACTGCTATAGCTGAAAATATTTACAGATCTTAAGTGTTACAAAGTTGAATGTGACCATAGGCTATGTTGTGCAATTCTATTAAGCACTTCAATAGTTCTAACAACTGCATGAGGTAATTATAGTGCAGACTGAATATAAGTACACAAAACTTGTATTAGTTGAAATTAATTAGAAGTCTTATTTAGAACAAAATGTGCATGTGAGGCTCAAGTTTTTCTTTATTGAAGAATACTTATATTATATTTTATAAAAATATAGAAATGCAGAAAGAGAGCTAGCAAACAGCCCCATATTATTGTTCAAATGAAGATCCTCAGATCCCAAGAATTGAGATGGTTTTCTCAGGATGACACAGGGTGTCAAAAACAGCCAAAGTGAGAATCCACATCTCCTCCAAGAGGATGTTCTTTATACATCACTCTCCTGGATACCATTTGTTTATATTAATCCTACCAAGAATTATTTAGAAAACCTACTTTTTTTCATAAAGTATAATTCCTCTGGCCATCAGCATAAAGAAATGGCTCTGGAGCCCCAGAATCCATTATACTAGGAACATAAAACACAAATGGCACTCTATACCATTAGTAATTTACAAAACTAAGAACATTATAAACTAAAAGATCTTACAAATTACTTGATTAGACAGCTTTAATTGTTGCCTTTTTTTTTGCTTCATTAGAAAAGCATTACCTTGAGTGAACTGTTGGTTTGTTCTTGATATTGAATTTCCAATTCAAGTTTATTTAGAAGTTCATTTACTATAATGATCTCATCTCCTATTTTATTTAATACAGTCTTCAAGGTAGGTTCCTGGCCTGTTATAAGCAAAGTAGAAAACAAAGCATAATTATATATATGTATGTATGTGTGTGTGTGTGAATGTGTGTGTGTATATATATTATATTATATATATATACCCATGAAAACTCTTGGGACAGAGAGCCAAACTTTAGAGACATGGAGGGTAGAGAAAGGACTTTTGCTTCAGCCCTAGGACCTGTTTCCATGGATAATCTGAAAACCTCATTTCAAAGTAATATGGAAGAGAAGTGTGGGGGTGGGGGGCATCTACAAAATGTTCCTGCTTTTGTTTCTGGCAAAGTCTTCCACTATAATAAAACACCTAGAAATACTAAATAAAAGAAACACCTTTCTACATGCCTAGCTGAGCTGTCACAATAATTAGTTAAATTTCCAAGGGATCCAAAATGAAGAGGGACCCACAGATGAAGCATCATTTGTGAGCTGATGCTGCTGCAGCTCCATCCTAGGGGGTGCAGAGGGATACTGAAGAGAAGGCTGTCAGACTCAGAAACTGGATATATTTCACTTTAAGGAGGACTAGATCCAAGGTTTTGAAGCCTCAAAACACAGGGTTGGAAATGACTATCTCAAATGGGATCAGGATCCCTCTTCACTGAAAGTATGTCCTGAAAAAGTCTAAAAAGGCCAGGGAAATAACCTTATGTTTTGGACTGGCCCTCAGGTGTGCATGTGGATGGAGTGGGGGTAAGGTTGAGAGTTCTCTTTGGAAATTTGGAATATAAGTTTGGGATTCATATTTATACTTTATACACTACTCAAAGTTGCTAACCAGAAAAGAAGAACATAAAAAGTCACAGGCTAGTGATAACTCTGGAAAATAAAACATGAGACATATACAAAGCAGCATGTTGTCATCTTCCCAGCCCCATCTCCTAGCACCTCTCTCTAGCTTCATAAATTTGATGAGAAAATCTGAGTCCCTTCCTCCCTAGAAATAAAGTAATTTAATAATTTAAGAGAACAAAAACACAAAAGAAAAATTATCCTCACAATTAAATATTTCCATATGCATTTCCGGCAACCAAACAATGAGATACATATAAATAAAAGCATACTTTGGCCATTTCTGTAGATTATGGAGGCAGTAGAGGCTATATCTCAGCCAGAAGTCAGAGACACCAGTACCTACTGCCTAAGGTTACTGCAAAGATATGAAACTACATAGTAAATGCTAACTACTATTCATCATTTTAATGAGAAGTATATTATTTTATCTAATGGAGCAATGTGAATTGCTCTTCACATTCAGTTTATAACTGTTAAAACAAAATAAGAATTCTGATGTTCCTACTGAGAGCAATTTCAGAGTTAAATAACTAGATGGATACAGTATCTCTTCCCTATATACTGCTATCTCAAATTTTTATAACCAAGTAATAAGAGAAAAACAATAGTCACTTAAATTTTAGGGCTTTCATTATGATTTATAGTAATACAATCAATTGAACAAACTCACTTCTTTTGATAGGATTCATCTAGTAAGGTAATGCACCAAAAGTACAAATTACCAGGCTTCATTAAGTAAGCTATGGAAACAAATTGTTCTCCCCATCTACAAAATAACAATTGTCCAATGTAGTAATCTAACAGGTCTGCAGTTTCAGCCAGACCTCTGTTTTGGAGGGGTCATTTGAATCTAATATTACAGATCTGCAAATTACAGAGGTACCTCAGTTCATGAACACTTTTGTTTGAGAACAATTTGGATTGCAAACAAAAACATTTAGCAAAATTGTATTTTTGTTTGCAAATTCTACATTGGGTGACAAACATGACAGTGGCCATCTTTCCTGCACAAACATAAATGTGCCAACTTTTCCAAAACTGTGGAACAAATTAAGTTCTTGAACCAAGGTACTACTATGATTAAAAAATAAAGTTGATGTGCAAATTTATTATGATAAAGACATATTGCCATTAATTCCCCTCAAAATACTCCTTCTCTCTTCAAACACACATATGCCATTGTTCTTGCCCCTTTCTGAAGCAATTCTTTAAGTCCTCCTTAGTGTCTTCAGTTGTGATGTTATGGCTCAGTGTCTTGAATTGATTCGAAACATTTAACTTTCATGGTCATTTTGACTTTGGGGAAGAACCAAAAGTCACATAGTACCCGATCTGGTGAATAAGAACACACCATCTTATGTTCTTACAAGCCTGCTCTTTCACTGGATGGCACTAGCCTTGACAAGGATCATCTGTTTCTTTGAATTTTCACTATATCATCCTTTTTCAGGACATCAGAATATTTCAAAGATGGGCATGACCTGTTTATGGATATTTTAAAAATTAATTTCATTTTCCATTAGCTGCCCCTTGATGATATATAGAGATAAGCTTATTCCAAAGTAGGCTATGATATGGCTTATGAGCTACTTCCTTCTGTGTGAATCTTTTCCATTTTAAGGTTTTTTTCTTCCCCTTGGCTTTTAGTGTATCCATTAAGCTCTAGAACCATGCATGCCACATACCTTCAAAACTTACTATTGGTCGATATGCCTCAGAAGAACTTAAGTAAATAAATCTAGTGAATATTTAGTTCGTCATTCAATGTATCTTCTGCAATAGTCAAAAGAGTGATGCTAAAGTGTTTTAAAAACTGCTTGAAATCTAAATTACCTTTTTAAGACACATTCACTTAACCAAATATAGAATAATAATCAAAATGTACTTTGTACCTAAAGTCAGTGAATCTGTTTTACTTACCAAGCTTTCTTAATGACAGAGTTTTTTTAATATTGCCAATCTTTTCATTAACATGACAACATAACCGTTCCAGCTCCGAGGTCATTTTAACTCCTCTGAATGAAAAAATATAAACATGTTTATAAAGGTGAAGAAAGAGGAAGAAGAGGAGAAGGGGGCAGGGACAAGGAACTAGGAGAGGAAGAGGGAGGGAGGAGACAAGCCAGATAAATTTGTTCACTTTCGAAATCCAAGAATGGTAAACAGTGAGTAAATCACATTTCCTTGAAAGAACAAAAAAGCAATTTATTTCAATTCTACAAATTCATTTTCTAACCAAAATACAATACTCGTGTATCTCAGTCTTCTGCAGTTAGTGGACCCCAAACCAGGTTACAGGTAATGATCCTAGGTGATACCTTAATGATTTAGGAAGACAAAAGTACTATTCATCTATAACACAACACAGTACTTCATTTAAAAATGAAAAATATACTTGCATGTTAAAGAAACACTTTAATTTCCAAACGGGCCCAGGGAAACATTTTTCCTAAGGAGTTGTGGATAGGGTTGAGGACAAGGGCTTCAAAACCTGAGATCCGTACAGAGGAGAGGGGAAAAAATTCAGTTCCTGGTCACTCTGAGGGCAAGCTAGAAGGGACTGCTCCAAAGCAACCATTCCAGCCAAAGAATAACAAGTTTAGTCCTCCCCGCTGGGCGGCCCCGCGCCCCGACCTGCCAAATGACACATCCGGCTGCCTCCAAGGCCAAGGACTCCAACAGTAGATTCCTACCTCGCGCAGGTTGGGTACCAAAGAGCCCACTCGTCGCTGAGTTGCCAGCTAGGAAAACTACAATCTCTGTCAGTACCCAGGGATCGCAGGAGGCAACTCTGGAAGTGAAATTCAAACTACCCGCCAGGCCAAGTGTGCGCAAGCGTACTTCCGATCTCCCAGAGCGCAGGCTCAATGGCCGCAGGAGTTTCTGGGTCTTCCCTGACTTTAGTTGGGCGGGTCTGGGAGGCGGGCTTGGGGGCGGGTCCAAAGGGCAGGCTTGATTGGGACCAACGGACTGCCACTCTGAACCCAGGCGGTTACGTGTGATCTCTGTCAGTCAACCTTCACTGATCTTTACCTGACTATAGCCTGAGAGCTCCAGGGATAAAATGGCAAGGTGCAAAATCTGCTGCAGGGATAGTCACCACGGCAACTTTTGCTCATCTCAATGGCCGGGCACAAGTCAATGAAATTAGACACTCCAAAGGCGAGGCCCAAATTTTAGCTTATTTTTAAAATACCCCAAATAATTCCAAAAAGCAGCCAAATTGATGAGCTAAAAGACAGAGCCTCTGTGAGGGCAAATGCAAATTTAAAATTTTATAAAACAAGAGTTTAATTTTCTCTACCAAAAAGAAAGGCATGAGGTGGAGATTATGGTGGAATAAACTGGCTGAGCAAGTGTGTTTGACCTGTCAATCACAGAGACCCAGAATGCATGGACAGAACACTTGGGACAAATCAGAAAGTTCTATTTTCAATTCTTAATTTAAATCTGGTGCAGAATCAAACAGATTTTTTGATAGGACAGCCTAGATCTGACAAAAATCCCCACCATTAACCTCATGGTGACTGTGAGCTTCTCTCAGTGTCCTGTTTTCACTCTGCAGAGCATTCTTTTCCCACCTTTAATAAATGTAAATCCTCACTACTTTTTTCATGAGTCTTGTCCATTTCTTCATTCTGGATACCAAGAACTTCGAAAGAGCCCTGAAAAGAATCTCCGGGACCCAGAAACTGATAACAAGCACACCAGCCGGTGAAATTGCCACGTGAAAGATGACCTCACTATACCAAGAGGACAGTGAGGTAGGATAGAAGAAATAACGATAGGTAAAAAGGAGACAAAGAAAATCATAACTTTAGTATTTACTTTTCATAAAAACTGCAAGTTCAGGACAGAGTTTTTTTTTTTAAATTTTAAAACCAGTAAGCCTGGGACCACTCCTTTTTGCCTGTAAATGATCCTTGGCTATTCTCTTTTACCTGTAAAATGGGCTTTATTTACCTGTGAATAAACCACTTTTTTGCCAGCAAAATGAGCTTTTTCTTATAGATGGCCCAGCTATATCACCTGTGATGCTTATCACCTATGAATAGCCCATCATCCTCCCCTTTGGAAAGGCCATCACCTTTCAACTGTGAATTGAATCTCATCTTTGCACACATTCACAAGTTCCACAGATTCCCACCCCAAATCCCCATAAGTATACCCAGCTCAAAGCCACAAGGTGCCTCTCTCTCTCTGGAGGGTCTGCACTCAAATTCTACCTTGAAAAAAAAAAGATTTCTTTATGCCTCTTACTGACACATCCTAAAAATTCTTTTTCTGTGATAGAAGTCAGTGAACCTGCAAACTGCTCCCTGGGCAAGTCAAGGTTTCCCCACTTTTGCTTTGCGGGCCTCCTTGGACCCTGTCTAGTGACAGAAAGAAACAAATGTATCACCTGAGATGAGAAGTCAAAGGTAAGAGAAATATGTATAAACAAACTTCATTAAACTAGTCCTTCTCTTCCTAGTTACTGCTCCATGGTTAAATACTCTAGTCTTACTACATAGTCACAATTTACAGCCCTATGTTATAATTAAGATGATAAATTTTATGTGATATTGTTACCAGTTTGACCCAAACAGAGTCCTTTTTCCTTCCCAGAATTGTAGGGCCAATAAATAAAATCAAGCTTCAGTAGAGCAATGAAAGAAGCTTTAGTCTTGGCCAAAGAACAGGAGAGCCAGAAGGCAGAGTTAAAAAGTTAGCTTCTTCAAATAGAGGCTGAGAATATCACAGATATAAAGGGTGATCAAAAAATGCAGTGAATATTTAAATTTTTTTAAAAAATTATTTTTAAGGACTCATTGTCAAGAAGGATGGGATAAAATAAAATGAAATTTTTAAATAAAAAACAACAACCAAAAAGAAGTATGAGATAAGATGTTAAAATCAAGAAGGAGTATTTTGAGTACTTAGGGGAGGGGGTTAATGGAAATGTGTCTTTTACTTGAATAATTTTTTTATTTAAACATTCACTATGTTTTAATCATGCCTCATTGATCAAATGTTTTTGGCAATTTCTGTCAAATAAAGATATTATGATGTGTCCTCATCCATGGTATTCACCAGTTCTGGCAAGGTGTAACTTCGGACTCTTCTCCAAAGTCAAAATAACTATGAAAGGTGAATGTTTTGAATTGATTCAGAAATTGAAGCAGCCACTACAGCCCAACTAAAAGACATCAGGAAAGAGGACTTCAAGAACTGCTTCAGAAAGTGGCAAGGAGGAAGGGGTAAGTATATTTGAAGCAAGGGGGAATATTTTGAGAGAGATTAATGGTAATGGCAATGTGTCCTTTACTGTAAATTTTTTTTATATTTAAATGTTCACTTTTTTAAAAAAACATACCTCCTAGGTTACGCTGATGGAGGAGAGGAATATATATACTGTTTCTAAGAATGGGCAAAGATTTCCAATGATTCAAATGCCTTCTCATTTTGCTCCTTTTATGGTCTTTTCCAGTCATTGTCTCATAATGACTGTCAACTTTCATAGCACAAAAGAGCAGGAATTTTAGTAGAGAAATGTAGTACAATGAGATGGCCAGATGAAAAGACACTCAACAGGGCTTGCACTTCAGTTGCAGCTGAAGCTGGCCTGGCCGGGTTTCATCTCCTGCTATTCCTGGGGGATGAGTAAGAAGTTGGCCAACTCCCTGATTTCAGATGCAGAAAGTAGAAAGCAAGTTAGTGTAGTGTGTAAGTTTCATGTACAGGAAAAGTATGGATGGGTAAACATTTTTGATTGCGTAGGCTCCTCTTACAGGAGAAGAGTGTGGTTGTTAGTTTGGGGATAAGCAAACATGACCCTTTACCCATCGGTCACATTTTATTTAATTTTTAAATTTTTATTTATTTATATATTTGAGACAGGGTCTCACTATGTAGTTCAGGCTGGGTGAATTCACTTTGTAGCCAAGGCTGGTCTCAAACTCGCAGGGATCCTTCTCCCTCAGCCTCCCAAGAGCTGGCATTAACAGCATGTGCCACTGCACCTAGCGGTGACAATATATATTTTAACAAAATTTAAAAATTGGAGGAAAACCTCCAAATCATTTTATCATGAAAACTTCCAGCTGTATAAAGTTAGAAGGAATGGTATAATAAATTCCTTGCTCAGACATTGCCCAGCTTGAAACATTACTAACTTATTACAGAGCTTGTTTTATCTAAGTCCCCTCTCCTTCCCTGCCTGTGGGACTATTTTAAGGCAAATCTACAAAGTCTCAAACATTGTATCTTTTTACCCAGAAACATATCCATATTTCTCTCCTAAAGTAAAAACTAAAAATTACTGTGTTATACTTATCAAACGAATATTTTAAACATGTATTCCTGAATAAAAATTCAATGGACCACTTTCTAATTGTATTATGGAAATATTCATTTTAAAAATGGTTGGTTACATCAGAATCCAAACATAACTTGCACATTGCATTTGGTTAATACATTTTAAAAAGTCTTTCTTAATATATGCACAGCTGGTTATTTTAAACTACATTCCTTCAGCTGGACAAAGCCTTTCATTGCAGGACTAAGTGTGAGGCTGAAAAGGTCAACCTTCTAGGAAAAGTAACACAGCAACATAAATATTCCCTGCAGCCTAGAAGGCAGATATTATCAAATTATTTCCCAAGAGAAAATAAAGAAGACCACATAAAGGCACTGAATACCAGAGGGGAAAATATGAAAAAAATAAGAGAAATGAACAATTGGATCACACTGCCTTCTTCGTATTTCTTTCTAGGTTCGTTAGGAATCTTTTAATAGCAATAACACAGACTCAAACCATGTTGGAGTTGTTCAAGACGCGAAGAAGAGTCACACCACGAGAATGCAGTTAAGTGGATGAGCAGAGGGCTGCAACTCTCAAGGAGAAACAGCAGCTTGCCTCTGTTGCCCATTTCTTTTATTGAAGCGGTGCACAATGCGAGCGTGAGAAGCATGAGAGATTACAACCAAGGCCTTGAAGCTGTTTTTTAGGAATAACATCTTGAAAGCTTTCATATCTAATCTTGAGCTTTTCCAGAGCGGAATATTCACACCCTTGGGCGTCAAGGTTCCTGGAACAGAAGGAGCATCGCACGCAATGCTCCCTGGATGTTATCTCGCATGGGAGAGAACATCTGCTGTTCCTGGGAACGTTTCCCCAGAGTTCATTCTAGGTTCAACTTGCTCTGAGACAACATTCTTCTCTACAAAACCAAACTGATTTAAGCAAGACAAAAAACTTTATTGGTTTATAGAACTTGTAGTGTGTGTGTGTGTGTGTGTGTGTGTGTGTGCGCGCGCGCGTGCGTTCAGTTATAACTGGTTTCATACCCGGTATTTGGAAGCACTCTCTACCTCTCGGGTCTGTATTCCTCCGTTTTCGCTCCATTCTCAGGACAGCTTTTTGTCCGCTCACCCACCACAGTGATCCCTGGCCTCAACAAACTTATATTCTTATAGGTTAGCAGTTCTCGGTTTCCCAAGCGATCCTGCAAAACCCCCAAGATTCCATTTCATTGCCCCACCTTCAGTCGTTTGGTCATCCCTGAGCCAATCAGTCTGTTTAGGAGGGCGGGATGGTCTGATTGGCCAAACACCTTGGAGCTCCCGGCCAGATCAGCCATACTCAAAACATGAGAACTGAGGCAGTTTCTCAGAGGAAAATCTAGGTGCTTTTATGAAGTCACAAGGGCAGAGAAAAAGGTAGGCATGAGAATGTTTTGGAGGTAGGTGAAAACAAAACAAACACACACAAAAAATCTATTCTCCATGGTTATGAAGCACACATATACAAACAAAAAAGTGAAAGAGCAAGAATATAAGAAACTGATGAACTGGTCCTTGCAGAAATAGGCACAAGAGTGAAAGTATTGTGAATTTTACTTCAGGGAAAAGAAGCAACTATGACATTGGTTAACATTTACTGGTGCTGACTCTAGTGCAGGCCAACAACATCCACAGCAGTGAGTCAGAGCCTTGGCCCAGGTAGAGAGAGATAGCCTTTACAAACAGAGTCTGAAACTCTGTAGAAAGCATCTGACTGTGTTTGAAACAGTGTGGGGAAGTTGAAGCTCAAGCCTAACTGAGGTTGTTCCCCAAAATGGGAGATTTTCAGGTAAAGCAAATAAGAGGATGCTGCTCTTAATTAAGCAGAACAAGCTAAACCATAGACTGCCTAGTTCACCAGGGTGATAGACACCTAAGAACCCTCCTGAGGACAAATAAATTTGAAAGACTGCTTTAAAAATAACCTATCTTACAGATTGGCATAACAGTATGAGGAGCTCTGCTGACCCTAATCCTAATGAAACTGGTGAAAACTATTAGAAAAAAAAAACATTTAAACCCTCAAAAGTGGTCCTAAAGGCAAACAGCAAGTGAAATAACATTATAGTATGGACCCATTTTCACAAAAGTATTTCTGCCTGTCTAGGTTTTTTTTCTTCAACACTGGGGATAGAACCCAGGAGAGTGATCTACCACTGAGCTACATCCTCAGCCCTTTTTATTTATTTATTTTTATTTTTGAGACAGAGTCTCACTAAATTGCCTAGAGGGGGACTTAACATAGAGTTTATAAACTAGTCTTAAAAAAAGCTATAATCTAGGTGGCTTAAACAGCAGTCATTTACTTCTCATGTTTCTGGAGGCTAGGAAGTCTAAGATTAAGGTGCCAGTTGATTCCTAGTGAGTGCGCTCTCCTAACTTGCAGACAGCTGTGCCTTCACATGAGCAGGTGGTGGAATTACTTCCCATTCTTAGAAAGCCACTGATCCTATCATATTAGGGCCCTACCCTGATACCTTATTTAATCTTAATGGCCTCCTAAACACAATACCTCCAAATTCAGTCACTTGGGGGATTAGGGCTCCAACATACGAATTTTGGGAAAACACAATTCCATCCATAGAATATACACACAATTTTTATGTCCATTTTATGTCCCCAGCTACCAAAGTACAACATTCTAATATGATACAATGTGCATACAGAATAAGATGGAAGAACCATCTGCCTGCTGAGAAGAGACAAAGTCACATGACAAAATTTACTTAACAGTTTTCCAGTAATAATAAGAAAACCTGTCTGAGTTCTAGTTCACATATTGTAAAGGATGGTTGCTGCATATGGCAAATGTCCAACCAAAATAATAACAATGTCTGACCAACCCTTACACCCTTGACAAGCTGTGTGTGAGCTGACCTGAAGAGAGACTCAGAGCTGGCTGGAAATTGGAGCATTAGTTTATGCTCAAAGGAAAAAGACATATGTTGATGTAGTAGCTTTGCAGTATAAATTGTCTCCATTTTTTATAATCAGAGATGGTATTTTAGTACCATTTGCCACATACTCAATTCACACAAAAGAAAAGAGTAAACATCCCGTAATTCAACATCCTGGCAAGAAACAGATGGAAAACACAAACTGGATCATTGGAGAAGAATTTTATTCAAATGACTACTTAAAAAATGTGTGGACAGACTGGTACAACCACTATGGAAATCAGTATGGAGATACCTCAAAGAACTAGGACTAGAGGTCCCATTTGACCCAGCCATTCCCCTGCTGGGTATCTTCCCAAAAGAATTAAAAGAATCATACTAGGGCTGGGGATTCAGCTCAGTGGTTCTGCTACCTGCTTTGCAAGCACAAGATCCTGAGTTCGATCTCCGGTACCAAACACAACAAAGAATCACACCACAGTGATATATATGCACCCATGTTTATAACAGCACAGTTTGTAATAACTAAAGCTTGGAAACAGCCCAAGTGCCCATCAACTGGAAACTGGATAAAGAAGATGTTGGTTTTTTATAAAATGGAGTACTACTCAGCCATAAAGAATTATACTAGAGACATTTATAGCTAAATGGATTTATATTGAGGCCATACTCTTAACTGAAATAAATAGGACACACATGTGTAAATACTGAATAGTTTCTCTGTCATTAGAAACTGAAAGTGTAAATAAGAATTAAAATGATTAAAATGAATAATTGATAATTTGAAATAGGAAGAAAAGGTCCAAAGAGGTAGGGGAAGTAGGAGGGGAAGGGGAAAGGAAAGAAGGGAAAGGAAAAATTATGAGAAAAGGAACAAATGAAAACAAAGCCTTTGTAAATAGGGAAGGGTGGAGGGGGTGAAGGGAGCACAGGGAATGGGGAAAAAATAACCAAGATACATCATGTACAGGTACAAGTACCCAATGATAAATGTAAACATATTGTATACCTAAAATGTACCAATAAAAGAATTTAAGCAAAAAAAAAATGTGTGGGCAAAGTTTATAGAAGGTAACAAGTGATGATCTAATTCCATGGGGTTTGAAACCTCAAAGGCAGAGATTACCTCTAAGCCCATAGAATAGGGTCACATAAGAGGAGACAGTTCTACAGAAGGAGTCAATTGACCAGAACTGTGGCTTTTGGTATAGGTTCATAGGACACCTGTTAGGAGAATAAATACCTTCAATTCTCCTGCCTGTGGATCTTTTACTGATAACTCCCAAGTCCATTGGCTGAACTCAGCCTGAAGCCAGAAGACGAAGGAAACCCTTTAAACTGTCTGTGTGTATCAGGTCAGTTCCCTAGTGTTCCTAGCCCTTCCTCTGCTGTCCAGAGGCTTACTCAAAACCATTCAGTGTGAATCTTGAGGGGCAAGTGAATGCCAGCCAGTTCAAACACTTATTTATGGCATTTATATACTAACATACTTTGTGAATTTCATAAGTATTTCTCAGAATAGGCATCGATTACTTAATACAAATATTTGAAATTAAGTATTATATATTTTACAACTATATCTTTTGTTTGTAAAATTTTTATTAGTACATGTGTGCAGTACATAATGATTGCATTCATCATGGGGAGTTAGAACCTGTACCCAATACTTCGTATTTCTTTTTTTCACCCCTTCCTTTCCCAGTCCTTACCCCTCCCCCTTTCCTCCCTTTCCCTTTTGTAAAATTTCTATCATAACTATGTCTTTTGACAGAGATTGCTCATGTTGATCTGTCTATACCCTTCTGTATTTTCTATCTCAATTTCATTTTTCAAAATTTAGTTACTAATACTTCCTACTAGAAGTTTTCCTTAATGCCTTCTTAGAGTAATGGTTAAGTTTGATTACCAATTTGACTGGATTGAAAGACACCTAGAAAGTTAAGAAAGCACACTTCTAGGTGTGTCCGTGAGAGTTTGCAGAGAACATTGGTGTGAGGTCAGCAAACTGAGTGAGGAAGACCAGTCCTAAAGGTAGGGAGTGCCATTAAATAGGATATGGGCCTGGAGAGCATGAAAAATGGAAGAAGGAGGAAGCTCACATGTGCACACTTGATCATTCTGGAGTGACGGCTTACTTTGCTCCTGCTATTACCCCTGGAACTCAGACTCCAGACTCTTCAGCCCTTGAACATGAGACTTGCACCAGTGATTCTCCAAAGGGATTTCTAAGCCTTCAGCCTCAAACTGGGGCTGCATCATTGGTCTCTCTTGCTCTGAAGCTTGCAGCTTCTTAGGCTGAGAAGCTACAGTTTCCCTAGCTCTTCAGTCTACAGATGGTCAGTATTCAGCCTCTGATTGCTACAGGGATGATATAGGAAATAAAATAGGACCTCCAAATGATATAAGGGAAATACTCTAATTTCCAACCTATTAGATGTCTGATAAGCTGAATTTGTTTTCCCTAAAATCAAAGAATGAATTCTAGGAACAACAGAGGTTAAGAGTAGGAAATATTTATTTAGTGGATAGCTCCTGAGAGGCCAGAGGGGTCCAGAATGAATATCTGAGGACCCCACTTCACAGGGAAGTTTTATAGAGCAAAAGCCAGGTTGGTCGCAACTATGATCAACCAATAAAATTATAAGTATAGCTTCATACATAATATTGATCCAATGGGAAAGATCAAAGAACTTCTCAGGTACGTGACAGATCCAGGGGTCTTGGTTGCTCACTGAGGTTGCTGATGCCTTTATTACACCAGGAGTTATCATTTATCTCATCCCTTGTGGAAATATATAGCCCTGGTCCTTTTGTGGTTATCTTGAGGCTTGGCCCCCAACTGATGTGTCTCTGGTCGTAGCTGTAGTGTGTTTTCACCTTTTGTCTTGACTATTGAGGTCTCAGCTCTGTCTGACTATTGTATTTCTATCTAACTCAGCTGTCTATGATATGATCATCTAAGCCAATCTAATAAATTCTCCCATATATATGACTTTAATCTAGAGTGACTGTTGTCATTATAAAAAGGAAATTTGTACACAGAGGTAGGCCTGCAAGCAAGATGATATGAAAAGATCCAGGGAGAAGATAGCCATCTACAAGCCAAGGAGAAAGGTCTGGAATAGATCCTTCCCTCACAGCCCTCAAAAGGGAACAGACATGCCAACACCTTAATTTCAGTCTTTGGCTTCCAGAATCTTGAAACAATAAGTTTCTGTTGTTTAAGCCACTCAATGTGTGGTACTTTGTATGACAGGCCAAGCAAATGAACCCAGGGGCAGCAGTAAGAAAATGCTGCACCATCACCTGGATTCTTTTTTATTACTGATTAGCTATTAAAAACCCTGGTCTCTACCATGTTGTGGATGGAACTTTTCCACACATTGAGGAGATATTGTTATTAAAATATCATGAACTCTAAAGTAAAGTGTTGTATGCTCAATATGTGCTATTTAAGAAGTGGGTGAGGACCAAGCAGTGGTGGATGCCTATAATCTCAGCTACATGAGAAGCTCAGAGTG